AATTTATACCAAGGTGAATGAATTACTTGGTTCTATTGTACTGTATTCTGTTCTATGTATAAATACTATGAATTTCCAGAAACAATAAAAGCTGTTTGCTCAGAACATTTTTGCATAAAATTTATAGACAATACTGATGAATTAAAATAAACCTGTGCTATAAACAGGAACTAGATGGTATCCATAACCTCATTCACTTTGTTTGGAACTAATACCAGTAAAATAATACAGTTAATTAGGAACTATGTTTATTCTAAAGAACACTACGAAGGTTATTTTGAATACTAGTATTTTGTTGATGAATTAACAACAAAAGAACAGCAAGGTTTTCATACATAGTAGTTATTTCAAAAAAAGAGAATATTGGAATTTCACCTGCTCAAGGTGAATCGAGGGTGATTTCACTGAACAACTTTACTGCAAAGTGAGGAAATCAACTTGGGCACTATCATTAAAAGTGAAAACTACTCGAACAGAGGACTGAAGAGAAATATCAACCTAATATTAAAGTAAATGTTGGTCTGTATAGTGTTGTAATAAATTCTCACCTTGCATTACACTCGTGACTCTTACATATCATTGAATGAAGTTCGCAGTTTACAAATTATTTAGCAAATTGCTAATTGGATTCATTGTATAACCAGTTCGCTCAATTCCTTCACGTTCCCAGTGGAACATAGGGCTTCAAGCTAGAGGCTTGAAGTTTCTGTTTGCTAGCCTCATGCCCAACCTTTCCTCTTTACCAGCTTTATTTCTGGCTTAGCGAGGTAAAGGAGTGTGTCGGCCGGGGATCGAACCCCGGACCATGTGCATGGTCGGCGAGCATCCTAACCGCTGTGCCACCGAAGCACATTCGCTCAATTAGCTAGCCAGAATTCAGATGGTTTCAACTTATTCGGCGCTCTAACCTGAATCAAACGGGTACACTGCTGATGAGCTCGACCCCAAACGAGTGAAACGGCCATCCGGTGTTTAGATCACTTCAATCTAACTAGCAGACATTACTCGTTGATGTGGTTGGTAGTCAACTACTCATATTAGTCAGTCAGAAAATATATTTAATTTGATTCTTGTTAATGTAACACTTGTAACTAACAAATAATGTAGAATGAAAATGTAGCGAACTGTGCTTTTACAGTCCCCAAAAATTAAAGTCACTGAAAAAAGCTTTTTCTACTTGTTCCTCGTAATATTCTTTGGGATAATGACGTCATAATAAACCCAAACAATATAGGAAGGTGAATATTAGTTATTTAGTTTAAGATTTAAAATTGTACTTAGTAGAGATTTTGCAGACTAACTGGAGTAGTTTCTGACTACTGGTAATATTCAGTAGTATATTTGACGTGACGTAAAGAAATTCTATTAAACCATTGCTGTTTTGATTAGAATATATTATTTATGAATCAACAATAGATAGAAGAACGCCTTGCGAAGTAGTCGAGAAGAATTCGTGTCGGGTACATTCAATTTAGTTCTAGTTCTGTATAACTACACAATGGAGAACACAATTCTGAGATGTTTGTAGAAACAAAAACAAAATGGTTTTATATGCTCATTCAAAATCTGTCAGTAAGATTGAAAGTCCTCTGGTGAAGTACATTTATTGCACAATAGTTAACATATGAACTTGTCTACATTTATGTAAAAACAGAAAATATTAATGATTGTGGAAAGATAACCTTAATCGGTAAGTAATACATGGATTTAATTTTAAAGTACTCACTTATTTATTGATTTATGTATTTATTATCCACGAAACTCTTTCAGACTACTGTCAGTTGACTGAATAATATCAGTGTAATTGGTGGCCGTTAAAGACAAAAAATAAAAACTTAAGTGGTAGGGGGATTCGAACCAACAGCGTCCAGACTGCTAGCATGGGCTTATAGTCAATGTTTTACGCTGAGCAAAGAAAATTTATATCTAATTATAATGATTGCAGAGGCTAATATGAGTAAATGAGACTAATGATAATCAGCAGTGCACTGTAAATCACCATAGTACTCATGTAGGAAGAATCAAAGGCTAAGTAATAGTGTCCATGAGCAGCCTTGAATACTTATCCGCGTTGGTAAAGGATCAATGAAATGTTTAAATAATTTTGTCTTATAGTAGACAGTAAGCAACGAACGTGGAAATGAGCTAAATTCATCTTTTGAGTGATCTACAGAAAGGGCACGAACTAGGTCTACCTCAAATCGATGGAAAAAGCTGTAAGAATTAATACAAGCAAACCTGACCCACAAAATTAGAAGAAATGTTTGCAACCAGTTTCATATTTCAATCCACTAAGCCAAATGTCAGTTCCCCTCCTTTATCACATCCGTTATTTGTTTCGTCATTAATCATAACAACTATTTATTTCATAAATTCATAATTTTCTCACGCGATTTGGTAGTCACTTTCAAGTCTTACGTAACACTTCTCAGATTTTGTTATATTATCCAAGTATTTTGCACTTTAGTGAATACAATTTACCATCAATTATCAATAGTTTACTTCGGTCAATATTAGTATCAGGTACTGTTCCCTTATACTGTCACTGATGTAACCCTTAATGCATACCTAATACTTAATCGGTCATTATTCCGATTTTAAAATGACATCCACTCCAATTAATAATTACTTTTGTATACTTTTCACTGGGTTTTGTATCAACCCTTAATTCTTAATGGATTCATTAATATATAATCTGTAGAGCTGGGTTTCCGGTTCCATTCTTGGTGAGTTTATGGATGCAGACTACTGAAGAGTTCCAAATGAATAAAATTATGTGCTAAAATTAAACTTATTTTGGACAATTTAGAAGAAATCATTTTTCATGGCTAGTACTGAAATTCAGGATAGGTGTTTAATTCAATTTGGGGTTCGTCAAATAGGTGTACCTGTTCTTTAGTGAGTGATTTTGTTGTCACTGGGATCTAAAACACACCACCCATCGCTTCAAACACTAAAGCGTTATCCATTAAGTTATTAAGCATCTGTCCAAGAAAATCGTATGCCCAAATTAGGTTGATCAGTTCTGTTTACAAATTTCAAGAGGAAATGGATAATGTGAATAAATAAAACATAGAAAAGTGTAAACTATCTATGTCACACAAATTCGAAGAATTGCAGGCGAAACCAACAAAGTAGCTGAAGAAGCAGGTGGCGACGACAGGACTCCAGGTAAACATAGAGGAGGCGGAGGTGATGAAGATAACCAACCAACAACAACAGCAAAAACAATAATAATTTGCTTTATTCCAAAACAGTACTTGTGATACAGAATGGAATTCTCACCATTTCACTACAGTATTGCAACCAGTTTGTACATTATATTTATTATTGTTCCCTTGGGTTCCTAGTGGAACATAGGGCTTCAACTGCTCCTGTCTTCTGCTGCACTTTTCACTTGCATCCATGTTAATCCATACTGTTTCAGTTCCTCATCACACGATCTCCTCCATGTCACCCTTGGACGTCCCACTCGCCGCTTCCCTTTCGGGTTCCACTCGAGCGTTGGCCTGACGCGCGATGTCACCCGAGTGGCCTCCTCAGCGAGTGTCCAATCCATCTCCACTTTCTCCTGCATATTTGTTGGGCGATTGGTTCCTGTTTTGTTTGTTCCCATAGCTTCTTGTTTGTGATTCTTTCCGGCCGGCCATCCGATCTTCAGTATAGAACGAAGACAATTGTTGATAAAGTTTGTACATTAACAATAAGTAAAATTCTACATAGATTATGGGTAATCTCAGTTTTGACAACAGCACATTAGCATATCGGTAGCAAAGCCAAAAGTGAACAGAATGTTTGAAGATGTTAGAAAAGTAGATACTAGCATATTGACTAAAGTAAGCGGTAACAAAAAGGTCGAGATATACAGAGTGTGAAAGAACGAAGATAAGTTTGTAAGGAAGAGAGAAACAAAACAGTACATAGCAAAAAAGAGAGAGAGAAAAGGAAAAGGAAGAAAGATATGAGAGGGAAAGACGAGATACAGTTGTTCTACTGACTATTTAATGAATTATAGGTGTCACGCCTAATGCTTTCTTTATCGCACAGAACACTAGCTAAGTAGGGTATGGTTGAGTTTTCTTACTTGCTGGTGCAAACATATAGTTTTCCAAATAGGCTTCTGGTCCTGTCTGATGAATACAAGGGGAGAGATTTGAATGCAGGGGGTGGTGTGAGTTAGATAGAGTGGATATAGCCCGTTTTTCACATGAGACCAAGTGACTGTCGACCAGAATATTAACAAGCTGATTAAGTGGCACGTTGCTTAGCCTGCTGACAACCTGTAACATCCTACGTAATAAGCCACAGTCCTTCTTCAGTAGCCCTGGAAAAACTAAGGAGGAACAATAGAGAATAATAGGCAGGATGCAAGAGTTAAGGAATCGTAACAATCAGCACTAATCACCATCAACGAGAGAAATTTTAAAGAGGTCACTTCCTTCATCTATCTAGGCAGCGAGCATCGTTTCAACTACAGGCCGGCGGAACCGACCTGAAATCAGTTTGGAAATCTGCACTCCTCTGCACAAACAACAAAATTCGAATTTTTAATACCAATGTTAGTTCAGTCGGTTCTTCCATATGGGTAAGAAACTTGCAATGCACGTCGCAAGAAGGATTTCCAGCAGGTTACTGAAGACTTTTATCAACAGCTATCTTCTATGGCTCCATACTAGAGGTCAGATGGCCGGTCAGAAAGAATTGGCAATAAAAACTCTGGCTGGGAATGAGCCAATCAGTAACCAATTGCTCAACAAATATGTAGCATAAAACGGAGATGGATTGTACACTTGCTGATAAGAATATTGACTGACATTGCGTGCCAGACCCTCGAGTGCAATCTGAGAGCCAATGAGAAGACGTGGGACTAGATGCAGTGGACTGCAGAGAACGGAACAAAGTGGAGATATGTTGTTGAAGCTCTATGTTCTACTCCCAACCCAAGGGAATAATAATGATATCACTAATAATGAATGTTAATTATTCATTGATTTTAAAGCATGTGTATTGTATCAATGATTGACATCAAATGTAGAATCACAATGCAATTGGTAGAAATTGACAGTAGCTACTCCCTAAATTGTGACTGCTCAGCATTGTATATCATACAAGGTTAGAGTCATGGTGACGGGGATTTGATTTATACTTCTCAAAGTTCTACCGGGAACTCCTAATCATTGACGTCAACTAAGTCTGAAGTGAAGGTAACATTCTTTCAATGATGAGAAACAGCTAATTGATTTAAAGGAGAAAATGCTTCTCTGAAGAACTAAGTGGCAATATTCTCTTAATTTATTTACAGCGCCATGATATGATTATGAGCAATAAATTGTGCTTGAAGCGTCATCAGTTAATACTGTACTACTGTATGTTTTTATCGAATACAACTATTTTGTGATGCAATTATACTCTACCATAGCGTTTAAATTCTTTTCTCATACCATTGAAAAGAACATAGTATTAAACGTTAACATTTGGAGTTCCCTTAAGTGACACTGGTAGAGATTCATACAGAACTGTGTACACTGGAAACATACAATTTTTGTTTCCGTATTATGTACTTTTCTTAATAATACATTTACTAAATTTCACCTTTATGAATTATATTTGCATTCACTGTACAACGTGAAAGTAGCAGTTAGAATGTTAAATGGGTTTTTTTAATACTATTTAAACTGGTAGAATATGCTCTACTTACAAGTAGTACACATGTGTCAGTGCAAATTTTAACTTTCAATCTAAAAAGATATTTCTCTAATGATATATATGTACAGTTTCTGAGATGCTAAGCTCCCTGAGTATAAAAGCAAAG